GCAAATATTCTAGATGCTATCAAAAATCGGGGCTCAAATGATTGTCATTCATCGTACATGTCCAGGCAGAGAGCAATCTAAGGCAGTGGTTCTCAACCTTGGCTGCACATTAGAATCACCTGGGAATCTTTTTAAAATCCTGATTTCTGAGCCTCATCCTCCGGAAATTCTGTTTCTTTGTTATGGGGTGGGGCCACAACATTAGTAACAAAGAAACAGAATTTCTGGAGGATGAGGCCCAGAAATCAGGATTTTAAAAAGATTCCCAGGTGATTCTAATGTGCAGCCGAGGTTGAGAACCACTGCTCTAGAAGATAGCATGGCCCCTTGCAAAGGGAACAAGCATATGGACTTGGCAGTCCACTGTGAGCCCAGGAATCTATTCTACATTACTTACTCAGCCTTTGCAGTTCCTTAGTTATGAGAGAAAGCATACTATAAATAGCTAAAGATAAAAGTAAAATAAATTTAGCTTGATGTAGAATATAACTATGGTATTCTTTAATTCTCAGTCAGATGTTGTGATTCATACTTGAATTTATAAACAAAATGTGCCAGAAATCACTTTATTTCTGTAGAATATTTTAGAACCTTTTATGAGATAATTGACATCTACAAAATTACAATTTTTAAAATAAAAAGAGTATGTTTGTGGGATGTGTGATAGCTTTATAAAAGTTGATTCTGACAAATGCCTCTGTTCTTTATAATAATGATAACCTAATGCCTAAATAATGCACTGATCTCTAATAATAGGCTTACAAAGAATACTTTTATTTTTGAATGATGTATTGACAATGCAGTTTGTCTCAAGTTGAAGTGCATATTTGTGGAACAGCAGATCCCCTACCCCCACCCCCGCCTCTTTGGAAAGTGAATGTGGACGTAGACTTTAGCATTAGGAGGAAATGAATGATTGATATCTAATAATCAAAACCATTTGTAGTACTGGAGATTGTTACCTCCTACTACACAGGCCTTAAATCTCTGTCTCTTTGATCATTCCCTCTGAACAGACCCATATTCCTGGTGCCTGTCCAGCGATATCAGGAATTCATCAACACTCTCCAGTTTCAGGTTACGGACTACTGCGTCAGAGTTTGTGCTACAAGCATTTTACAGGACGCTGAGAGCCACCACTGGGATGACTACAAAGCTTTTTATGAGGTGTGAAGTTAAGTTTACTATCCCTCCTTTTTACACAAATATGTTTTACTGCCTACCTGTTTTCTGGCTAATTAGAAACATGAGCTCAGCCTTACTAACACACGAAGGCTGTTAGGATAATATTTTTTAAATATTGAATTTGTACTTAGGAAAAACACTGTTTTAAAAAACCTGAAATAATTAGACATCAGAACTCTCCTTATGCTTAGAAATAAAAATAGTCGCTTCATTTGAGCTACAGTGTTTGAGTGCTATATAATAAGTTGAAATATAATGGGATGCAATGAAAACTGGAAGAGATAACAATGCCAAAATGCCACAACCTTGTACTTTTCCCCAAAGGGAACAGTTATAGATATCCTTGCTTTTTTTTTCTTGTTATGTATTTCCATCTGTGTTTGATGAATATATTTTATTAAGCAGTTTTATTCTTTATACTTATTTTTTCCTTCTCAAAGTATGTTCTTATGAGTGTGTTTTAAGACCCATCTGACCATTTATAGCGTACCTATTTTCATTTAGCCCATGTTTTAAAATCCCAAGTTTCTACTGAGTTCTTCCTAATGATTCCCAGTGCAACCAAACCTACGTTCAATTAAAACTATTCAGCATCAGGCTTCGTTAGTTTCCCTTCCCCTGAATCCCATTGATTATACATTAGCCACAATATTTGAAATTTTTTGAAGTTGATTCCAGGGCGGGATGAAACATTTATAATACCTTAATAAAAAAAAATAAGATAAATCAGGGTTTTAAAATAATTTATCAGTCAAGCCCAGCTTCATTAGCCTTTCCCATTTACCCTTTCCTCTGCATTGAAGCTTATGATTTTTGATTTGCGTGATCTCATCACTATGGAGCACTGAGAAGAACAGAGTGGAGTTTTATTCAATGGAGTCACTCTCATCACCTCCATGACACTGAAGCTTCGTGTGGCGCCGTTTATGCCTGAGTTATTATCATAATAAATGTTGCCACAGCAGAGAAAAGCAAATAGTAAGAAGCTCTTTTAAGGGACTTTCCACTTCTTCTAAGGCCATTTCATCTCTCCTTTAGAGGCCCTTCCTAAGTAGTTTTTCTTTTTTGCAAGAGCATCCATACAGACTTTTCCAAACCTGCCGTGCTTCACACAGCAGTGAGCAGAATGAAAACGAGAAGGTGCTGTAGTGCAGCTGGTAGTCTGGGAAAGTATTGGTCTTCTCTCCTGGAAGCATCGCAGCTTCCTTATTTGCAGAGGTTGAAAATGAATCCATCTCATGTTTCAAACTATTTCAATATGTCACTGTACTAATGAGCAATTTTATATGATGTTTTCATTGAAAAACAGGTATTAGCTCACTATTTGCCCAACAGAGGTATGATGTTTCCTCTTATGCAAATTGGGAACTAGAAGAAGTATACAGTAAAAATAATAAGTGGATGAGTTTCAAACCTGTTATTGAAGTTACCAACTATTTAAAAAACACACAACAAATTACCATGTAACATGCAGCTCTTAGATCTTATGACAATGCTTTAACTTCAAAGACAGAAATAACGAGATAGTTACCCTGTGATTACATGGTACTGTAGCTTCCATATACTTACATGGTCAGTAGTTACAGTTTAATTGCAGAGTGGTTGTTATTTCTGCTCAGAAAAATGAAGTGGCACTGCTTTTCTATTTACCAAAAATAAGAACCTTCTAAAAATAGCACAGATTTTAAACTGTTTTGATAATGGAGTACCTGACACGGTTTTATCCCATTTACTGCACCCCTTCTCCTCCTCTCCCCATTATTCCATCTGATTTGTGAAACAGGACTAGTTTTTGGCAAGGCTGCTTTGGGAGGAAAGGAGATGAAATCTGCCAGACTCAAGACAAAGAGTAGGATAGAGATCGCAAGGGAACCTATTGCCATGTGCAAGCGTGTAGTAAAGAAAGAGTGAAGTAATTTACAAGATATGGAACAATATTTGCTCATGTTTTGTGAAATCAAGTGAGCCCTAGACACATTATTTCCATTTTCTAAGCTGTCAGGTTGAGAGAGTCAACGAGTTCGGTATCTCTCTGATGAGGTGCTGGTCAGATGGCACAGTGGGTGTTCAGATTACATGTTTAAAACTGAGCATTTAGTATAGTTGACATCTGCTCAATTTTAGCAACTTGTGTTTTGCAACAGTCAAAGAATAAAGAATTGTCTGTTCAAAGATAATATTGAGTGGCTTATATAATAAAGCCCAGCTGCTTGTTTCCTGATATATAATGTAAATAAAAGCTCACATCTGTTTACATTGTTGTGGGCCTACAAAAAATAACAGATGTTTACTAGCAGAATACTTTTGAAATGACAACAAATAGAGAAACAGGTCAGGAAAATAAATGAATCACATTTAGTTTAATGAAAACCCTTGTATACATTGAAGTTATACACATTTTGAAGAGAATTGTGTGAATGATGACCAGTTTGAAATGTAAAGTTGACATTTATGTTTTCAAAAGTCTTAAAAATAAGTGTTTTTCACTTTTAGGAGAAGAAATCTGTGTACCTGAAGTTATTTTAATTTTTCTCATTTATTGCTTAAAGGTAGCTATTAAGGACATTTTTTTATATTTTGAAAAAAGAAAAATCATGTTGGCCACATTATTATAAACATCTACCTATCTATTGCCATGAAAAATGTTAGTGTAAACTATTCAGATATCAGCTGAGGTCAGTTTTGCTTTCATTAACATACTACAGCACAAGTATAAGAAAATCTAGCTGTAAAACTTTGTTCTTACTTTAGAAATTTTAAAACACATTCTTTATTGCAGAACACAACAAAGAAAGCATAAGGAACTATAATTTTGCTACTTCTCATTAATTTTGTAATTTTTTTCTTAATAGTTTTGATACACATCTAGTCAGAAAGTCAGAAGCCAGTGGTCAAAGCACCCCCCCACCGCCCCGCCCCCAGCTTGAATGTGATTCTTTGACATTTGATGCCCATTTCCCACTTAAGGATAACAGTTCTACTCATTTATAAACTCCATTTAAAGTCAGTAAATAATAACTATACATTATTATTATGCAGTGATTATAAAAGATTTTAGTAATCAAAAAAATTACCAGAAGAATAATTTGTAAGGAAAACACTAATAGTAGCATATGCCTAAGAAACTATCCCCTGTTGGTATATGAGAACAGATTTTTTTTTAGATGACATTTGTTTGAGAAATATAAGCAGTGGGTAAGACAAATTTTAAGTCAAAGAGGATTGCTTAGAGATAAAATGGGAAGTTTTACTAGCTTAACTTTTGATATAGTAATATAATCAGTATAATGTTTGAAGAATGCATTCTACTCTTTTTCTATTTCAAATAATCTTTTGATCTGTTTTGAAAGAAAATGAGGTCAAACTACTAGCAAACCTCCCTAAGAGCAAGTTAACTAATTAATGCTTGTAAATCATTTGAGGCTATCTTCTCATTTCTGCCTGTTCCCCTTGGCCTTGGCCACTGTTGGGTCTCCCTCTGTGGTCAGGGAAAGTTTGTCACACCAGAGATCTAGAAGGGGATGGAAGGCAATGAGACTCTGGCCCCTTGGAAGTATAAAGTGCTGTAAAAATACTAAGAAATAATGAGATCTGCCTAGGCTTTACAAAAAAAAAAAAAAAAGAAAAATCACACAGTTATAGCATTTGTTTCTAGTATTGTTATTAAAACACCGTGAATAAAGGAGCCTAATGTAATAATCTTCAATAGTTACCCATCCCCTTGGTTTCATGCACGCTGATAAGTATATAGTATGTAAGTTAATTTTTGCTCCTGTTCATTATAATGTGAAATCTGAAACATTTGTAAAATGATCTCAAGGATGCTAATACTTAATTTAAATAATTAAATTTTAATTATAGAAGAATCAGCCCACTATCTTAAACTAGCATGACATGTTTAGCAACTATAAAGCCTATTGCTTAAAAGCAAATTTTAAACTGCAGGCCCGGAGTAGGTAAATCAAGGATATGCTAGGTGAAATGCTTGCAGGCTGGATTTTCATTAGACTATCTAGTCTTGTGATTGAAATAAAACACATGTTCCTTTGTCAGTAAGGATGTTTTACATCTTGTCAAAAATCTTTCTTGGTCATCTAGTGTGTCAAACTCTCCAGCTATTTCCTTTCAGCCTGAACTAATTAGGTTCATAGAAAGCAAACTGACATTTTGGAAGATGTGATTCCATTGTTTAATGTGTGTTGTTTTTGCCAGGGGGAAAGATGCTCCTTCTCACTCCAGATGTGGCATTATTTCTTCTGGGCTCTTCATCATGATCTCTGGACCATTCTACCCCCGAAGTTAGCCCAGAAGATTCTAACAGAAGTTCTGGAGAAGTCTTTGGGTCTACTGGCCTCCAGATATGCTCGGGCCTGTCCCAGTTACAAGAGAACTCCGCAGATAAGGTACCTGGCACTGTGAAAACCATTGCCTTTCAAGAAAACCTTTTCACCATTTACTATAAAGTAGAATGTAATTCTGAATCTCAGGACATGACTCCTTATATACTTGACATGTTTCTAACATCTGTAAGGAAATCATATTCAATTATCTTGAGATATTTAAGAGGAAATATGGAACTTGAGTCAAATCATTTTGCTCTTTTTTCTTCTTAAAATCATGTGTAGAAACAACTTGTTTCTAAAAAATGATTGAAGATATATCTCAATATATATCTTTATTTTTTAACCTTCATATATAAGAAGGTTAATAAATAGATGAGAATATTAAGGCACTAAAATGGAGAAAAAAAGCAGTGTTGTGATAGAGCAGTGGATTTGACTGAGGTTCTAAGCCACCAGGGGATTTTAGTTCTTAGGGTTTTTATTTTTTAAAGCCTTTAAGTAGTGTGTCTTCATTAAGGAAACTCCTTTGTCATTTTTCTCCTTAACATATTCGAATTACTTCTTTCCTTCTTTATTTTGTTTCTTCCTTTTCATTATGTGTAACTAAAAGCCAGTTCAACAATAAGTGAAATCACAAAATATAGGAGACAGAGTCACTGGATATTAAATTAAAGACTGAATTATAGTCCAATGCCACAAGTTATCTATGCAATGAATATTACAAAAATGTGCTTACATGAGAACAAGTCTATATGAACAGAAGGCTTTGTTTTATAAATATTCCGACTAATGTGATAAATACCTGCCTTTTAAGTATAGGTAGAGGTACATATATTTTAGGAGGGACCTGCAGACCTCAGAGGCTTTTTCTTTTATTTGGCAGTAGGAATCATTTTCTGATCATGTTCTTGTAAAGCAGACTGCATTTGAAGGGCATTTAGGTCCTGCTACAATGTTTCATAAATATGGTATTTCGCACAGGCTGTTTTGAATTACTGACCAAGCTTTTTTTTTTTAATGAACTCCAAAGAATAGATGGAAAATTCCTTTTGAGAGCAAAGATTACCTTCATTCTTTTTCCTTATGTAGAATAAATCACTTTTGACTATGAAGTGGCAAGTCATTATAAGATGTTTACTATTAACTCATGAAATAGGTAGTATATTTAATTAAATAATTGTACTATAGAGACTTTTGGTTTTTATTTTCTGGGTGGTTACATAATAATGCCATGCAGAACAAGAGTGATTTCTTATAATTTTTCTACATAAAATAAATTTATTTATTTATTTATTTTTAAAATATATTTTATTGATTTTTTACAGAGAGGAAGGGAGAGGGACAGAGAGCTAGAAATATCGATGAGAGAAAAACATTGATCAGCTGCCTCCTGCACATCCCCCACTGGGGATGTGCCTGCAACCAAGGTACATGCCCCTGACCAGAATCGAACCCAGGACCTTTCAGTCCGTAGACTGACACTCTATCCACTGAGCCAAACTGGACAGGGCTAAATATATTTATTTGTATGTTTAATCCTAAACTACCATTCATTTTGAAATCAATGTGTGTATGTGTGCATATATTTTAGATTTGAAATTACTTAATCAGCAAGTAGAGTAAATGGATGCAAACACAAACCTTCCTAAAGGTGATTATTGATGTGCTTAGTATTCCAACTGTCAAATACGACAACCATATTTATGATCTACACTAATAAAAGACAAACATTGACCATACCTTTGCTACACCTTAAGCCACACCCACCAGCCAATCAGAGCGACTGTATGAAAATTAACCCAACCAAGATGGCGGCTGGCAGCCACGGAGCTGAAACTAGCAGGAGACTTGGTTGCTCCAGTGATGGAGGAAGCCAAGCTTCCCGCCTGCCCTGTGCAGGCGGCTCTGAGCTCCACTGAAGGCAACAAAGTTTCAATTATAGAAGGTAAATAAATCCCAGAATAAAACAAAAAAAGAAAAAAAGGAGAGGCTGGGAGCTTCCGTTGCCGGGGGCCTTGGCCCGTCTGAAAACGGCCCTCAGCCCCTCACCCAGACTGGCCAGGCACCCCAGTGGGGATCCCCACCTGAAGGGGGTGTGACCAGCCTACAAACGCCCATCAGCCCCTCACCCAGGCTGGCCAGGCACCCCAGTGGGACCCTCACCCTAATCTGGA